ACTTATAGACTTATTATTTTGGGCTTATACATAATGGGCCTTATGCAGAAAAATTGAATTTGTTATCGACACAAGTATTTTCTGAAGAAACTCCGAATTCAGGATACTTAAAGTGGAAATATCAGGGTTACATCTAAATCTATAATAGAACAAAATATTTATGTATACGAGCTAGCGCAATGTTGGTATTCTTTTTTGAATGAAAAGCGTTTCACACCATGCAAAACTTGTCTCACTGTAGGAAGTCTGGAAATTCGTAAGCGTTGCCCTTACAATCGAGGGGCTATAATTTGGATGGTAAGTTGCATATTAAAATACTCAGATGAAAATTTCTTTGGTAAAATAGACACAGTTAATGAAATTTATTTGAAAAGCCCCAATTCCCTTTATAATACCAAGTTCATTCGAAAAAAAGTGCATCAAGTTTTAACACAATTATGTAACAAAGTTGTTCGTGGATCGTTGCACATGCTCATGGGCAACTAAAAGTATCAAACACAAGGACCGTTTATGGTGTAGTTGAATGCACTGGGGACTTTGAAGTGGATTGTAAGAAGTGCAGTAATGTTGCCATAAGAAAACTTATAAATTGGAGTTATAAAAGAGTGTTGTTAAATGAACCCTAAAATTAACTAAGTACATCCGATTATCAAACTATTTATTAAATTACAAATTTACCCTAATATAAAATGGCCAAAAAAGATATGTTGAAGTATGAAACAAATGTACACCATATTCAACCCTTGTCTTTCTTGCTTTTGCCCCAAGATACCATAGCTACTTATAGACTTATTATTTTGGGCTTATACATAATGGGCCTTATGCAGAAAAATTGAATTTGTTATCGACACAAGTATTTTCTGAAGAAACTCCGAATTCAGGATACTTAAAGTGGAAATATCAGGGTTACATCTAAATCTATAATAGAACAAAATATTTATGTATACGAGCTAGCGCAATGTTGGTATTCTTTTTTGAATGAAAAGCGTTTCACACCATGCAAAACTTGTCTCACTGTAGGAAGTCTGGAAATTCGTAAGCGTTGCCCTTACAATCGAGGGGCTATAATTTGGATGGTAAGTTGCATATTAAAATACTCAGATGAAAATTTCTTTGGTAAAATAGACACAGTTAATGAAATTTATTTGAAAAGCCCCAATTCCCTTTATAATACCAAGTTCATTCGAAAAAAAGTGCATCAAGTTTTAACACAATTATGTAACAAAGTTGTTCGTGGATCGTTGCACATGCTCATGGGCAACTAAAAGTATCAAACACAAGGACCGTTTATGGTGTAGTTGAATGCACTGGGGACTTTGAAGTGGATTGTAAGAAGTGCAGTACTAATGTTGCCATAAGAAAACTTATAAATCGGAGTTATAAAAGAGTGTTGTTAAACGAACCCTAAAATTAACTAAGTACACCCGATTATCAAATTATTTATTAAATTACAAATTTACCCTAATATAAAATGGCCAAAAAAGATATGTTGAATTGTGAAACAAATGTAATTTTAATAAGTACACCATATTCAACCATAATCAAACGTAAGTGAAAAATATCTACATTTTTCAAAAGGTTAAAAACATATCTATATTATATTGTATCATTATTCTTTTCGGAATTTGATGAATAAGCCAATTGATTTTGAAATATGAATCCAGATTTAAGCAACATACCACTCAATTGCAATAACATAATGAAATGTATATATAGAATTCAGCAAACCTTGGCTGCATTAGGGAACTTGAATACTTTGGAAGCCGCATTAATATTCTGGCTGAAACCTCCACTACAACTTCCACCAAGTCCCAGAACATCTTTTTCCCGATGAGGAGAACTTTTGAAAAGGAAATGCATGACAGGTTTCTTCAGCTTCCAAAATAGACAGGGGCGGCCCTGGGGTGGTGCAAGTGGCGCCACCGCACAGGGCCTCCGATTCTTGAGGGCCCCAAAAAAAAATTCTTTATATTGTATATATTAATATTATAGGAATTGTATATATAGTATAGCGTGCAAAATACTTGCACAAGAGCGTGTCTAGTGGAGTTGGCTCCAGCGCATGTTCACTTGTCGGAAGCGCCAGAGTTCGATTCTTGTTGAAGTCAGTCCATTTGGCTTTTTTCATATTATTTTTGCTTTATAACCACAAACTTTACATAATTATTATAAATATCAAAAAAAAAAAAAAACAGAAAGCCTTTTAAAGAAAAAAAGGGAAACATCGAAGCTAACAACAAGAAGAGTATATATATTCCCCAAACACTTTTTACTTCAAAACCAAAAACACTTCATGGTTTTTCTTTCTCTTAAACTCTGATTTTCTGGTAAAGTAATCATCATCATTCATCAATCTTTCTTTTGGTTCTTTTTTTTAGTCCTTTGACCATTTTTGTTATTAGTTTATGGTGTAGTTGAATGCACTGGGGACTTTGAAGTGGATTGTAAGAAGTGCAGTACTAATGTTGCCATAAGAAAACTTATAAATCGGAGTTATAAAAGAGTGTTGTTAAACGAACCCTAAAATTAACTAAGTACACCCGATTATCAAATTATTTATTAAATTACAAATTTACCCTAATATAAAATGGCCAAAAAAGATATGTTGAATTGTGAAACAAATGTAATTTTAATAAGTACACCATATTCAACCAGGACACATTTAAATTTTTATGAATTTGATTTCTAATTGTCATTACATATTTATTGATGGTGACTTTTAGTTATAAAAAAATTATTTATAACATTAAGTTATGGCAATTTTTTTTTTATAGTATTTTTGTATTAGATTATGTGAGGCCCCAATTTAAGTTTCGCACAGGGCCCTCAAAATCTCAGGGACGGCCCTGCTGAAACCTCCACTACAACTTCCACCAAGTCCCAGAACATCTTTTTCCCGATGAGGAGAACTTTTGAAAAGGAAATGCATGACAGGTTTCTTCAGCTTCCAAAATAGATAAGCATGAGTAAGGAGTGGGTGGCCCTGGACCTCGCGGACTATTTATTCGGGTGGCAACAAAACCTTGGTGTGAATCAGAAATTAGATGCGTTGGTGGCAAGCCTGCGTCGCTCCCAGTTGATTGTGCATCAATTCGGTTGAGCTTTCCCTGTAAGGATGCTTAGAGAGGAGGCCACCAATGCTTCAGAGTGTATAGGGTATATCAGAGGTATTTTTGGTAGTTAAATAGGGTATACTGAGTTAATTTTACATTTTGATTTAAATATATAAGGTGTACTTAGATCATAGGGTGTACTCAGTTAATTTTAGGGTTCGTTTAGCAACACTCTTATAAAACAGAAGGTGGACGTGCTATTTATGGGAGTTGTTACATAAGATATGAATTTTACGGGTTTTACAAATACCCATTTATTTAGCATAATCAATTCGATGAGGATGTCAGCCCTAAACTCATTTTAGAGGATGGGAATATATAACTCCCGCTATAGTGTTTGAAAATACTCGTAACGTTAATCATTAAAAAAAGAATTATTTATTCTCGTTTCCATATTTCATTTATACAATAATAAAAAAAAAAATATATGTTCAATTTTCTAACAATACAGAAATATTGGTACTTGTATATTTAAAGAAAATAGATACTACACATAAGATTTTGAGTAAGATTAAGATTTGATTTTGTGTAATTTTGCTAAATTCAAATTTAGAGTAATCCTTGCTGTAAGATTAAGATTTGATTTTGATTCTTAGTCCATGTCAACATGCATATTACACATAAGATTTTCTTTTATTTCCCAGATTTATTTATTTTGATTCCTAGTCCATGTCAACACGTGTATGGGGCCTTCTTTTTGGCATCCCCTCAGGTCACCAAATTCTTCGGAATTAAAGATTTTTGCACCCTATACTATTTGTAATTTCTTTATGTTGAATGCAGTTCCTTCTTCTGTTTTTCAGTTGAAATGGGAGGGATTAACCCCTAAACACACAAAAACTAAATGACAGAGATAATAGGCATTCTAGGAACTCTTAACAAATCATCATCAAAGGTAGCCGAAACCCATCTAGGATTCTCATCAAACACAACAAACCCCAAATCAAAATTATAGCTCCCCTTGGCTAAACAGTCAGCCACCCTTAATCACACAATCTCCCTGTGCTTTATGTGGTTAATGCGGTTCCTTCTTTTTCCATTCGATGAATATAAATTTTTTTTATAAAAAAAATGGATTTCAAAGAGTCAATAAACTCATGTTGCAATATATAATACCAAACGACTTAGATCCCCATCGCCCTTGCATTGGCTTGACTGAGCCGTCCCGATCCAATTATCCGGGGAAAACCCAAACTCGACGGGGTTGCACGAGGCCTTAAACAATTTGGGATCTTTCCAATACCAGCTGGGAAGCTTATATATAGCCAACAGGGTGAGCTTAAACCTCACCATTCCACGAGCTCTCCCTTCCGAGATTTCCTTGGCCACGTCATCACCTATGTACGCGGACGCGGCTTCGATGCGGAAACTACAAGTGGTCTCGGCCCTGGTCCTCAGAGCCAATGGCGGCGGCAGCGGCTTCGTTGCCAGCAAGACTCTGACCCTATGGCTGTTGCCGCGGTTGTAGAAGATGGTGGCCTGGATGGTGTCGTAGTAGATTTCGAGCTTGTGGTTGGGGTTGGAGGCGACCAGCGTCACATCCCAAGTGGCGGTGAAGTTGGAGGCAGAGGCGTTGTTGAGTAGGGACACGGTGGCGGAATGGAGGCGGAACGTGGGGTTCTCACGGTTGATTGCGATGTCCCTGACGATGAGGTTGACGAGCCAGATCACACCTGCAAGGATCGTGAGCCAGAAGAGGATACAAATACACATTGTCTGACGAGCTTGAGGGGTTTTGTCTTCTTCGGCGGCATAAGCATCAGCATCAGCAGCATTTTTATAAAAAAAATGGATTTCAAAGAGTCAATAAACTCATGTTGCAATATATAATACCAAACGACTTAGATCCCCATCGCCCTTGCATTGGCTTGACTGAGCCGTCCCGATCTAATTATCCGGGGAAAACCCAAACTCGACGGGGTTGCACGAGGCCTTAAACAATTTGGGATCTTTCCAATACCAGCTGGGAAGCTTATATATAGCCAACAGGGTGAGCTTAAACCTCACCATTCCACGAGCTCTCCCTTCCGAGATTTCCTTGGCCACGTCATCACCTATGTACGCGGACGCGGCTTCGATGCGGAAACTACAAGTGGTCTCGGCCCTGGTCCTCAGAGCCAATGGCGGCGGCAGCGGCTTCGTTGCCAGCAAGACTCTGACCCTATGGCTGTTGCCGCGGTTGTAGAAGATGGTGGCCTGGATGGTGTCGTAGTAGATTTCGAGCTTGTGGTTGGGGTTGGAGGCGACCAGCGTCACGTCCCAAGTGGCGGTGAAGTTGGAGGCAGAGGCGTTGTTGAGTAGGGACACGGTGGCGGAATGGAGGCGGAACGTGGGGTTCTCACGGTTGATTGCGATGTCCCTGACGATGAGGTTGACGAGCCAGATCACACCTGCAAGGATCGTGAGCCAGAAGAGGATACAAATACACATTGTCTGACGAGCTTGAGGGGTTTTGTCTTCTTCGGCGGCATAAGCATCAGCATCAGCAGCAGCACCCATAATTAATTAGTGTTAATGAATAATAATTAGAGAGACTAATAAATAAGAGAGAGCGAGAACAGTCCTTTTTTTAATTCAAATTCCATCATAAATTGGATTCTTGGTTGCTGGTACAAAAAGTCGAGTTGGAACCATCTCTAGCCAACGTACGTTATTCGACTTGCCAACTATTTAGTCAAACTGTTTACAAAGTGTCAATTATGCCCTTATTTAATTTACACTAAATCAAATGAGTTGATATCATAAGGTCAAAATAGTAATTACAAATTATTAACAAAAAAGATAGATGTTCTGTAAAAAAAAAAATTAATTAAATAATATCATCCCTTATTTTTCTCCCACTGCTACCTTTTCTTAGGGTTCGTAACGACATCTATATAAATGGGTTCTTTATTTATAATTAACATTCTGTTTGGTTTGCAGAAAAAAATTCGTGGGAAATAATTTCCCGTGCCTTCTCTTAAGGGGTGGGAAATGAAAGATTTCTTCCCATATTTAGTTTGCAAAACAACGTTTGTTTAATTTTTCAATATACCCATGAAATCAAATATTTAAAAAAAAAAATGGATTTAATGTTATACTAGCCTCTCTGCACGCGCTTCCGCGCCTACCTAATGGGTACTTGTGTTCCATAAAAATAGGATCTTTTCAAGTTTTAGTTGCATATGTATTGTTTTAAATTTTAGTTTATTAAATCAGAAGTGTATTTGGTTTTAATTTGGACTCTGAGAAAACGTTGGTCCATATCCATTTGTTTGTTCTTGTTGTGATCAGATCATTGCTCTATCATATACAACATTAAGAGTTTGTTTCATTTACGTTTGATTAGTCTCGACTCATCTCAGTCCATATTAAAATATAATTTCTTTAAAAAAACAATATAATACAAAACAAAACAAATTATAAAATATTACCGTTGCATATCACTTTGAATCGTTTCATTTATGCTTGCACAAGTGAACTAATTTGTTGCTATTTTTATTTTCTTTCAAGGTCATGCATGCATTGTTTCAATACAGATGCATTGTTTATTTTCTTTTCTTTTTAATTAAAAATATAAAAATTATATTCTAAGAAGTAGTAAATAAATCAACATTGAAATGTAATAAAATAATAATTTAATTTGACATATCGGGTGGAGTGTAAAACTATATAAGATGTCAAATTGCCACATCAGCCATCAAATTTAAATTTGATGTTTGGTATTTGACATCTCCCTTGGAGATGCTCTAATAAATAAGAGAGAGCGAGAACAGTCCTTTTTTTAATTCAAATTCCATCATAAATTGGATTCTTGGTTGCTGGTACAAAAAGTCGAGTTGGAACCATCTCTAGCCAACGTACGTTATTCGACTTGCCAACTATTTAGTCAAACTGTTTACAAAGTGTCAATTATGCCCTTATTTAATTTACACTAAATCAAATGAGTTGATATCATAAGGTCAAAATAGTAATTACAAATTATTAACAAAAAAGATAGATGTTCTGTAAAAAAAAAAATTAATTAAATAATATCATCCCTTATTTTTCTCCCATTGCTACCTTTTCTTAGGGTTCGTAACGACATCTATATAAATGGGTTCTTTATTTATAATTAACATTCTGTTTGGTTTGCAGAAAAAATTTCGTGGGAAATAATTTCCCGTGCCTTCTCTTAAGGGGTGGGAAATGAAAGATTTCTTCCCATATTTAGTTTGCAAAACAAAGTTTGTTTAATTTTTCAATATACCCATATGAAATCAAATATTTTTAAAAAAAAATGGATTTAATGTTATACTGGCCTCTCTGCACGCGCTTCCGCGCCTACCTAATGGGTACTTGTGTTCCATAAAAATAGGATCCATTATTTGATTTTTCTTTTAATTTTAATTTTTTTTAAATATGAAAAGGTGTGAATTTACCATATTATCCTCATTTAATTAATAATTTCAATTCTTAATGCTTGCATTAACACATTTTCTGATTTTTTGAATGTTTCACCATTCTCTGTCTTTTGCTTGAAGTACCGTGTTCATTTGACCACTCAATTGAGTTATAGAAATTTTAGTACTTTCTTGAAGCACCGTGTTCATTGATTTTGTAGGATACAATTGGATGTCGAAACGGTTTCCGATTTGTCTAATTTTTTGTAGGGATGATCTATGAATGAAAACCTAAAAAATAAATGGTTTGGATCATTGGAAAAAAAATTGTAGTGTACCCTAAAGGGCGTCCCTCAAATAATTTGAGGGATCCCTAAATAGAAGGGGACTGTATATATATATAATGGGGACAAAATGGTCATAAAAAATGTGCATTTAATAGTGGCTTATTTTCCCAAAGTTTTCCATGAGAAAGGAAAATGAAACCTAAAGGGGAGGAGGGTTAAAGGCACGTGAGGACCAATATAGTCCTAAGCCCTCACTTAAAAAAAAAATTCTTTTAGAATGTACTATGTATTGCTGTTATTGAATAATGTATATTAAATAATATGTTTATTTTATCACGTGAGCCCTTCCTCCCAGCTTATGCCACTTTCCTTTCCTTTTCCAAATCGGTTTATAGCTCTTATTATTAGGGCACCGTAGTAATTAAGCGTGAGATTTGGACCCTTTTACACAAATCGATAAAAACTTTCTCTTTTCTTGGAGCATAGACAAGCAGCAAAGCATACTTTCTCATTGCGAAGCTTGTGAGTCTTTCTCTCAAACTCCATATTAAGCTATCAAGTTTTAATTAGGTTAATTCATTTAATTAAAGTTTGTTAGTAGTTCTCTTATTATTTATTATTTTCTCTTTACTTGTGTTTTTTTTCAGTTTGTGAAATTTTATTTTATTTTTTCTATTGATTTTAATAGGTCTTTCAATTTATGGATGAATGATTGCTTTGTTGCATATATTGAGAGAGACATTTTTAATATTATAGACGGTATGACCAATGCACCGAAAAATAAAAGAGTTGATGAATCATTGAGGGATCAAAATGCAACTTTGTATAAATTTGAGGACCATTTGAGTTAAAAACTCAAAATTTAAAGTTGATATGGAAAGGGCAGATAGTAATTATAAATTATATAAGAAAAAAAAAAGATAAACAAAATCCTCCCATATTTTTCTCCCACTACCCCCTCTTCTCATGTGGTAACTTCATCTATAAGTTGGTTCAATTACCAAAGTTAGAAGACGTCTTAAATTCCAATTGTTCAATTACATGCCGTGATTTATATGTGTATATTCTCGTTTTTGGTTGGAAAAAAAAAAAAAATTTGTTGATTTCTTTCAGCCTCGGTGAGGCACCGATGAGGAGGTTGGAGAGAATGCATGATTTTGTAGATGTGGATTGAAGTTTCTGCACTCTATTGAGCTGAAAATTTTAAACCCTAAACTGCTTTATATGAACTATATCCTTTCCACCTGGTAATATAGTTTAGGGTTTATCAGTGCTTGTTTTCTGGAATTTTTACCCAAAAGAGAGAAGGAAAAAAAAAAAAAAAAAA